CGTCTACCTACTGATTTATATATATATATATATATATGTATATATATGTATATATATGTATGTATATATGTATATATATATTTGTATATATATATTATATAATTCAATAAATGCAATAGACCTTGGAAATAATAAGTATTAGAAACTAATTTGACAAAGGGGGTGCATATAGAATCAGTGAATGTTTTTTTTTATCATAATAGTTTACAATTGAAGTAATTCAAAGAATTTCCAAATTATCAATTCAGACATATCCTAAAATAGGTTAGTAAAATTATAACACTGCGTTATTTTTTCACTTAATATACTAGACGATCTCAAACAAAGAATCGATTCAGACTTTATATATTTTCTCAGTTATGTCTGCGGACACGGTCTCACTTTCGAGTCAGAGTTAAACAAATCGAGGCTGTCATAACTCTGTGGAAATCTAATAAAGACTACATATCCACAGATTAGACGGTTACAATTGGGCAATTGATTCAGGGCTAACGTTTCTAGCCCGGTCGTACCGATCACTCACAGCGGGTAAAATTGGAGCTAATGTCCGCACGTTATCACAGAGGCTCTTGCATACGGCGGCTTGACAGATGCAAAGAGAATAATTTGTAATACCTCACCGAGTTCTATATCGGGAAGTATTCGACAGCTAACCCGTGGTTTCGCCTACAGCATGCACGAACCCTAGATATCTAGGTGTGTTATAAAGGTCTTCAAGGCGGATGTCTTTTCACAGACACACACCTGAGACGGGGCTACTCGCATCTTTCATAATCTTCAAGCTAGTTGTATCCTAAAGCGTATTTGTATTCTGGATAGTGGCCACTCATATTTCGCATTTTCAATTTTTTGGGCTAATATCTTGAAGTTGTTTAGAGTACGTTATTGTCAGGTATCTCATTTCGTGATATCTGGACACCTCTTCCACTAGGGTAGAAGTATTACTAGTGTTGAAGAGTCAACAAGGGTTTTAATTTTGGAACTTGCAATAAACTCACCAATATGTTTTGTCTCTATTTAATTGCCGCAGTTATATTACCAAGGTAAGGATTATTTATATACAATTATATATTTAATTATATAAATCTTAATATTTACCTCGTTTTTAATATACTTTATATATACTAATAATTTTAAATAATACTATTCACACCTAATTTAACTTGATCGTTTTTATATTAATTATGGTATAATTTATGATATAATGATTAATCTAATTTTAATATTTCTGTCAATTAACAGAACCACATATACTTAAGTACGTGTTCTGTGAGAAAACTACATTATATATTATTTTACATTAGCTACAATTTGTATTCTTTATAAATTAGCTAAACTGTCTTCTACTCGTACACTGACCACTGCAAAGTATGCCTATGTACTCAGCTGAAATCTGAATTCAAACAAATGAATGTTTTTCTCTGAATGATGAATATGATGTTGTATTAACGTCGTAGTCACAGCGATTTCCTACTCAACATAATACAGCTTATGATAGATCATTCTTATGCAATATTAAACAAAAACATATTATATACGTTGTCTGTATTAGTTCCTACAATTTATACACCTCATCTCTGTAGAAAAACTTTAATTTCCTACTTATAATAATAATATGTGAACTTATTGAATTGGAAGTGTTAAGAGCACATGCCCAAAACTAGATTGTACAGTCGGAATCAATAGTCTCCAAAGAAACAAAAACACTACACCAAGGTGTTCTTACTGTTCACCTGCACATTTCACTTGTCGTTCTTTGGATTGCTTAGTTACGTCACTAGATGGTGTTGTACGTCAGTTAAATTATCGACGAATATTAATTGGCTAATTTTTAAGTGATAAATCAGTCTCCATTTATACAATGGATTTGCACTTTCTCGATTATAAGACTTTTTGATGAACACTTTTTTTCCCGGAACAAGGGTTATAGAATTCGTTTCAATCATTATAGTTTTTCAATTGTCGAGATATGCACCTTATAAACACCTATTTTAGAGAAATTGTCCTGGTTTTAACTCACAAACAAGTTTAATCAATCAGCATTACTTCATTCTCCTTGATAGTATGTTGCTATATGTATTTTAAATCTCTATAAGTCCGGCGAACATTATATTATTAAAAGTATTACCTTATTAATAGTTACTTGTAGAAATTTTGAAACGAATATTATACCAATCTGGTATTATTATTTTTTATTAAATATTGTATCAATTCAATTTTTAATTCAATTTTTAATTCACAATTAATATATTTTTAACAATTTAATCAACCTGATATTATTAATTATTTTCATTATTGAAAGTATCAATATTATTATATGTATGTAAAAAAAAATATTAATATCATTGTTGATACATGATGCAGAATAAGAGTACCTGCTTCTGATATACTTGATGCGATAGCATGATTTTGTTTTTTTAACTTGATGACATTTTATTACCTTGACGAAATAAACTTAACCCCATCCCAGCTTGTCATCTGTAACATACGATGGTGAAATGCATCATGTTTTGATTGAAAACCAATACTTTTAAACTCGTCAACTTGTCATGGAAGTGCAAAGAGTTTGATATATAACATCTGACGGACGCACTCCATGGCATCGTCAACATTTATTAAAATCATAGCATTATTATGAATATGCTAATTGTACTTGAAATGACAGTGTAGGCCTATGCATATATAATATTCCTAGTTGGTTAAGGCGTCTGTATAGACATCAGAAGATCCCGGATCCGATTCCCGGCTGGGCACCTATTTTGTCACTCGGCATCAATACATATTAAACAAAATGTTTTAAATCTACTTGAGACCTATTGAGTATGACATACAACTCTGTCTCTTATACACATCTAGATGTGTATAAGAGACAGCCACATGTGTCTGCCGTTTTAAAATTAATAGTATGAACAGAGTATAAGTCGCTTTACAAATCCTTGGAGTAGAGTTGTTTTTGTCCGTAGAAACTCCCCACAAAGGTAGCCTAACTTAGTATGAATCTGATACCTCTGACCTATTATCTGCTAATTGAGTGGCGTGGATGTGAAATTGAACATTAATTCGGTTAAACCATAACCCATTTTAATGTTAATACATTGTTACGTTCTCAGCGTGTTGGCCGATGATTGTCCGTGTTGGGACATGAATGAAGAAGAGTTAACGCAACACTGTGAGCTATGGGTGTCGGGTTCGAATCCAGACCAGTGCTCGGAATTAGCTCTCGTGGAATATGACTCGTGTGTTTGTTGCCGACGCTGTACACGGGTAAGTTATATTAAAAATCATTGAGAAAAATTGTATCTTGTTTTCTTTTACAGTTTATGCAGACTGATTTCTTTTCATGTTATTCTCTATCACGAAAGTAATGTCTCTGTCTATGGATGAATAATAATTTGTAGAAAAAGATAGGCCTATCTCCTCGTAAAGATGCATTTTATTAGTAATGTAAATACTCATTCAAATTGTCTTATTTGCATTATTATGAAAGTCTGTTACGTAAAGATATGCAAATTTTATTTAAATTGGTAATCAACATTTTCATTGGCTACTAAAATGTAATTCAATCGTTATTTAAAGGTCAAAATATTATGGAAATAAGGTGTTCGCTCATCTTCACACTTTACTAATTCAAAATGAAAATTGATACTAATGAGGAAGTATTTCGATAGGTTTAATACCAATAACAACTCGTAATCGGAACTTCACTTATTAATTGCAACAACAGATGATTATATTAGGTAACGTATCATTACCAGGCGGCCTGGCACGATATAAATATGCCGTTTCAGCACACGCAATATGGTGCTGCCGCACGTAACATTAAACACTCTAAACTACTATCTACAGATGTGGAAGGATCAGAACACAAAATACATTAAGAATATATTGTATTTTAATTTAAAAAAAAAACTTATTTAGCTATAAAATACAGTAACAAGTAAGTCTATAGCAACCTATTAAAGTTGTAGTTGAGTAGTTTTAGTACAGAAGACTGCCGTGAATAAAATGCCCTAATGAGCAAAGCAACGCAAACAACGCATTATTGCGTTCAATTCATTACGTTTGCGTAAAAATGCATACAACGTATTATTGCGCTCATTGCGTTTACGTTTGAGTTTGTAAATCAATGTATACAACGTATATTCCACTCATTGCGTTTCCGTCAACGTATTTAAATTCCTCTAGTACGCAACAACCTTAATGACCACTAATAAACACATAAATTATTTTGAATTTAAAGTCCTTGACTCAACATTAATACATCGTACAGTAGACTGTCTATCAGTGCATTAGTAAATAATTGATCGGGATTACATCTCTTTTAAATATAAAAGGCTTGAATTAATCCGTTTGTTGGCAATTTAAACTGTAAATAAAATACATAATTCGATCATATCTGTCCAAAAAATAGATAAACACATGTCATCGCTTTCTTATTAGAAAACGATTTTATCGAAATGTCAACATATATGAAAAAATTATTTTATATCAAAAGAAAGGCAAGCGAATGTCAATCACTTTTAATTTACTGCTTCAATAATAATCAATGTAGAAAAGACGCCCTGTTTTATGTATTAGGCCAATCCCAACCATGATATAATAAATGGTATTTCAATCATATAGCCTGTTTTATTAGTATGAGTTGATTTAATTTCAAACTTAATAATTTACAGTTGTCTACATGCCAAGTCTATATTATTGTTTTTAGCTGTGGGATCAGGTTGCTGTGAGAACACAACCCTCTTGAAAGACAGATCAATAATTAAATAAATAATAATTAATAAATACAATGTATACCGTAAGAAATAAAAACAATGATTTTATGTACATTGGAATTACTGTATTTATTCGAATAAATTCTTGTTGAAAATGGTTTTTGAGTAGGAGTTTATTTGACATTTTTTTTATGTAAAATGGTTACGTACTCAAATAATCGCTCCTTAATTTCATTGTAAATGTGGAACAACAAATAATTACCGTAAGATGTGTTAGTGTGGGATCATACAGACTTATTGATCGCAACCAAGCTATAAAAAATTTAATTCTACTGGAGTAGAATTTTAATGTACTGCGTTTGGAATGATGTTGCTTCCAATATATGCGTTTACAGTCATTTAGTGTGGAGTTTATTTCAGGAAAAAAATCAACGCCTAGGGGCGTTTATTCGAGGGAGGCGTTTATTCAAAATGAAGCTGGGGAATTTATTCGATGAGGGGGAATTTATTCGAATAAATACTGTATATCTACTTCATAACACCGCATTTGTAATGATAAGATTTGCACAAGCACCTTTTTATTCTTCAAGTTTTTTTAGTTGACGTTATAAAAATCATAACGAGGCTGAAGTTCTGTGGCGTCATCAATACATATTAAACAAAATGTTTTAAATCTACTTGAGACCTATTGAGTATGACATACAACTTCAACATCCTGGTGGGTTCAACCCGGGTTTATCCCCTTTGGACCGCTTACTTGACCATAAATATAAGCGTTTACATTCCGTAAATTTCTGAAGCGATTGTATTACTCCTAAAGAATATTGGATTTCATTCTATAATGTTTACTTCTATTGAAGTATAAGTGTTTGTTTGTTTAAATATACCTTGCATGCCTTTCGTAACGACAATTTTAAAGTTAGGGATGTATAATATAGTATAGCTACGACCGAAACTGCAATAGATAAATTGTTATAGAATATAATTTTTAAAGAAATTATAATCAAATAATTCTGTTTTAACACAGAGAATTGTTTTTAGCAGAAGATTCTTTAAATTAACAGACAATTCAATGCTATGTGTAAAAATATAGTAATGGTAGGCCTATTGTTAATTAATTGGTCAGAAAGGTAAATTCTTGCTTTAGTTTTCGACTGTAAGCTAATAGCCTAGACCTATATAAAGTTAAAAATTGATTTATTTTTCAAGATTTGTTCAGCGTGATACAGACACTCTTAAGCCTATATTCTTAACAAATCCCACGCCATATTTTCCGAACTTTTTAATATTGTTTGAAGTTATGCATCTTTAAGAGTTCGTTGTTTTTACTCAAGGATGTCAACGAAGTATGCGGCGGCGAAAATGGTGTACTTGGCGTTTGTTCACCCGGCTTGAAATGTAGTTTCATCACTGGTAATTCGGTCTTTGGACTCTGTACAGAAGACACAGATGAAGGTGAGTGAATTACTTAAAGTTTTCCACCTGAATGATAAGGCCAAATATTAGGGCACCATGTATAAATTTACGAAAATTAGGCCCTTTTAAACATCATTTTATTTCTGTTAGAATCAAATTACACCAATAGGCCTACTATATCATGTAACTCGTAGTGAGTTATGTTACCCTCAACCTCTGGAACAAATCTTAATTTTATTATGCACTGCGGTCCGCAATACAAATAGTCAATCGAACTGAATCAAAACACATGAAAAACTTCAACTTAAAATTAAAGTATATTTATGAACTAAATATGTTTTTTTTTTTATAGAAGAAGAATAAGATGATGATGATGATGATGATGATGACGGAGAAGAAGAAAAATAAGATGATTATAATGATAATGATGATGGTGGTGATCATGATGACGATCATTATGGTAATTATTATCTGTTTATCTTTCAGATGCTATACTTGCGCAGAATTTCTCACCACCAATGTTCTTGAATAAAGCAGGTGATGATAACGACAATGGACTGGGCCACATATTCTGGTAATAAAACGGTATCTGAAAACAGAATGCTCGAAAGACAAGATGCTAGGCCTGAGCCGATGTATGCAGCTGATGAGGGTAACACAAACCGTAACACTTCATGTTGTTTCTTTAAACAACCTGTCATTAAAATCGGACTTGAACACGCTGAAAAAAGAGCAATTTTGAGATATATTTTTTGTAAAGTTAAGCGAGGAAAAGTTATGTTTATGTTTGATTGAAAACCAAACGTTTTTAGAATACATTGATATTTTAAAGAGATTCAGTTTATTAATTTGTGAAGGAATATGTGTGGGGTTGTTTTGTCTATCCAAATGTGAATACCTCTTTAGTGAATAGTTCCCAAGTAAACCTATCATACTCTGAAAATATTACCGCTACCGCAAGTCACGGTAAAATCCGAAGACATTCAAAACAGATGCAGATATTGTTATAAATCGCTAAACTTTGTTGATATAAATAAAGCTTTAATTTCAGATTTTGTAATGACACACAGCGGTACCCTAACAATAAACCTTACCCATCTATCTCGTATTTATTAATTTATTAAGATTTATCAGAAGAAATGTTGAGCTTCTGTATTGTAAGATTCATGTGTAAATTTATAAAATGTGTTTGTAGATTTATTGCTTATGTGTACATATAATAAATAATACTAAATATCATGTAAAAATAAAGTTGCGATATACATCTACGTTATAAAGTAAATACTCTGACTTAGGAGTGTGAAGAAATCAAATAAATGATAATAATCCAGACAGATTGTTTTAGTAAGCTGATTATGACCAGTGGTGTAACGCATATGCGCTCTCATGCGGCGATCCGCATGGCCCCCGAATTCTAGGGGCCCCGAAGGGGCCCTACTCATAGGTTCCTAGATCTAGCACCACTACTCATAGGTTCCTCGATCTAGCACCCTGACCAAAAAGGACTTGGTTGATAAAAAAAAAAAAAAAACACCATGTGTCTGAAATCGACTGTAGGGTATATATCATATTACATCAATTAAAGAGTGGGGGTACCCTTCTCGGCCCAGGACCCCACCAAATTTGTCAAAAAAAAATGGAGATAAAGAGAAGATTATATTCACAATTTTAAGTCCGTAAGAGTGCCATTTAAGGCCATCTAGACGTGCCATAATAATACGTTTTCTTATCTCAGCCCCACAAGGGCGCGGGCAACAGCATATAGGTGTCAAATCGACTGTAGGGCATATTATATCCAGTGGCGGAATATAGAGTGAGGGGGGAGGAGCTGTCGGCCCGGGGCCCCACTAAATTTGTCAAAATATTTTTTAACTGGAGATAAAAATAAAATTACATTCACAATTTTATGTCTGTGAAGTGCCATTTACGGCCATCTAAAGGTGCCATTTTCATAAATTTTCTTACCTGAGCCCCATCCGGGTGGGTCTAAGGTGGTATAGACTCAACTGACAAAGTCCCTCCCTGGCCCAAATTTTCTAGATCCACATTATATCATATATATTCGTCGCTAAAACATTTAGAATAACAATGCACGTCTAAAATCATACGTTGGAATTGGTGACCGGGACCCAAAAAGGCCCCCCCCCCCCCGTTTCAGAAATACACAGGAGTCCCCGCCCCATCGTTACGCCACTCATTATGACGTCACAAGACATACTCTGAGTCAGGTTCCGACTCGATGGAGTTTAATGTCATACCCAGGAAAAGACACAGATCTGCTTTGAAAGGTGTGGCGTGGGGAGACATTTCGTGAGTCCACACCCATCAGGGTTTAAAATTTGAGGAAATAGTACATCTAGATGGCCAGAAATGATACTTTTAGTAAAATTCATCATCATCACATCACTACTGTTTTATATAAATTTCTCATAATATTTTATATCGAATTTTCGGCAACCATAGAGATCTTATTAATATGTGTGATGTACGGTATTTTAGCAAATAAACTTTAAAACATTGTCTTTGATGTATGTACTTTACATACTTGAAAGCCGTGATTTCAAGCACCATGATTGGGGCTGAGGTGAGAAAATTTGAGGAAATAGGACCTCAGATGGCCGGAAATGACACTTTTATATAGTACCGGTAATCATCACATCACTATATTATAATAACTGCGAAGAGCCAACAAATTTCTCATGATCTCTTATCAGGGATTTTTGGCAACCATAGAGATCTACTTAATATCTAGGACAACGTAAGCCCAACTATAGGCCCTAACTAAGCTTTAATTACTATAATAATTATGATTGACAAATAACAAGTTCCTTTTCGCCTTTAGCACAATTTTTAATATTATTAATATTATTATCTATCATCATTATTATTATTATTATTATTATTATTATTATTATTATTATTATTATTATTATTACTTCTACTACTAGTAGTAGTATTATTAAACAAAACTGCATAAATGCATCAAAAAGGATAGAAACCAAACTGAACCATGGCCTGGGATTTATGGATTTAAGGCGAATTTTAGGTTGGTTTTTTTTTGTTTTGTTAAGTAAGTTTGTTAAATCCACTCCTTGAGAAGTAGCCGTTATAAATCCGAAAAATTTAATTTTTGCATTAACGTGTACAGTGCCAATTTGATTAATCTAACGAATATTCCACTGGGTTACTATCGGGTTAGCGGGTGACTTTTATTGATAGAAGTTTATGGTGGGTTTCTATTGGAGCACGGGTCACAAATCTACAGTAGAAGGAGTCAATTAGAAATTGTACAGTATTTAAATTACACCAAACTATAATTAGGCCTATGTACAACATGTGCTGATGCATATTTACATATTTTATAGAAGTATTCATTTTGAGTGATCCCATTAGAGAATGTGTAGGCCTATTTGCTAGCAAGAACAAGCTTTAAAATTCTAACGCTGTTTACAAAGGGGGGGGGGGTGGAGCCGCGGCTTCCACGGCCCCCCACCCTTGAATACGTCCCTGGCGAAAGTTACACAAACGCAATACATTATTTGATTAACATGGAAAAAGTCTTGCGACAATTCCCTTATTAGCTAATGATCAATTTCATAACTTGAACAGCAGGACTACATCATTCTGAAATAGTCATTCAGTAGTTTGACCAATCAGAGAAAATATCATTATATTAAACAAAATATGCACTGTGATAACACAGAAACATAGCAAAGGCAATATGAAAAGTATAAACGATGCTAAAAAAAGAAAAAGAAAAAAGGAAATGTAGTATATATGAAAATCATTTCATTTCACATTTTAGGCACAACTACCAAGGGTATGCCAGTAACGAACTTAATCACTTTCGAGTGGTAATCCCTTTCATGTGGTATTTTACATTAGATACTGTCTCTTATACACATCTAGATGTGTATAAGAGACAGATTTTTAACTACTTGCAAATAATTTTTGGGGGAGACGAGGGGGGGGGGAGTGAGTAATTTTTGGAGGGGCATCCCTAGATACGCCACTGCTCCCGTGCCTTTCACTTATCTGCCAGCAACTTTCTTTCTGATATATCAAATATATTAATAGAAATCTTTGGGCGTGACAAAACATTGGTACAAGCTATTAAACAAGTTTCTTCACTTCTCCATGCATAATCATATATTAGTCTCAATGTTATTGCTTCGAAAATAAATTCAATCAAGATAAATCTTGGCCTCAGAAATCTAAATTGATTTGTATAATGAAATCAGTTTGCGTGGCATCAAGTTATAATTGTACGTGCTTTCTACAATTGTCGCACTAGCACATTTTCGTTCTAAATGCCATATTTATGATTTTGGCCTTCAAAAAGGAAGATCTAATATACAGTTTACTATGATCTACCGATTGGAAGCCTTATAAAAACAACTTTTAGGCGTTACTTTATTATAATTAATCTAAAAAGTACAGGTTCAATGTATTGAGAGGATAAAAAGTCACCTTTTATATCTCATGCGCAGTAGGCCTAGAGTTAGTTACGATTTTAATATTGATAATGTTGGCTGTCAATTCGTAAGTGGAGCGGTACCATCAAACACTTATCACCTTCTATGGATCAGGCTGGAGACACATTAAACACGGTTTAAACACGAATTATACCTGGCGTGAATTTGTTTCCAGCCCAGCTAGAATATGGTTTCTCCATGGTGCCGCGCATAGGGCGACTGTAGGTATCATCTACGTCACCAGAGATCGTGCGAAGCATTCGTTACTGCCTGTTGCTTTGCGTCCGTATTGAAATAGCAAATCGAGTTTGTTGGAAAACTGAGACGCAGCTCAAACAAAATATTCAATTTCGATCGTGCAATGCCTAACATATCTAACATTCTGCTGTGTTACAATGGAGAGGTACTGAAGTGATTCTCACAAACCTCAACTCCCTTGACGTAGACATAGTAATGAGTTCCTGTAACATAAGAAGTCATTTCTTTATGGAAACCTCGTCTCAATTGCATTGGGTTGTTTTGTTACTAGCTACCGTAATTACAAAAATCAATAAAAACTTAAAATTTGTGAGTTTCAATCAGGTTGTAGACTACAGTGATACAGGTTTATGTTAATGTACATGTTTATGTGACGTCTTCACAATCAACATATTTCATAAACAATTCTATGATTCATAATGTTTCTATATTTATTTACTATTTCTTTCAACAAATTTCATTTGTGGAGTGTAATTTCGTTCGAATAGTGTTATGTAGAGTGAAAAGTTGGTGGCGCACTTCTAGAACTACAGTTCTCTTTATGTGCAGGCCTAATATTTTGTAGATACTTTTTGATAAACACAACAATGAATTTCACATAATATAGATACGTTGTCACATTTATATTTTATTATATAATCTGAAGTATCTGATATTAAGTTTAAGGACAATATTAAAGAAAATATAATGTGATAATTAAATGTAAACGTAGGCCTATGTCAATGCATTGGGTGAAGAAACTGCAATGTACTGTTTATGTGTGTGGTATTTTACATTAGATATGTTAGATAAATAAATAGAACTTTAAATTAAAATTAGACATTCAAATTTTCAAATGTAATATATATAATGGTCTAGACCTAAAATTACCTACTAATTACGTACTAACAAATAATTAAATATATATTGTTTTTATCAATTAGTCCCCAATTACACATAATCATTCAATCAATGGATTTATAATGTTGATTAGTGTAAAAAAAAACATCCATGGGTTCTCAATAGAAACATGGTAGGAAACGACGAGTTTTATGTAATACAGGGTAAATACCAAAACCAACAAAAAAACTAAACCCAACTTAGAATAGTACTACAGAAAAAACGTGATCAAGACGATCACAAATCGCCTCGGCATTTTGACAAATCTAATTTGGAAATAAATTCACCGATCGTTTGTCAGTTTCATCTCTAAGGAGGTATCATAAGTAGGTCCTCGTGGCCAGATCCATTTTCTTCTACGTTTTCCTTCGCTACAAACGCGTACGTTGCCTGGTAGTTGACATCCATATCAAACGGTCCATTATAACCACACCCACGTTCATCTTGAACAAAAATAATATCCAGCTTTCGAGATGACGAGGTAAATTTTATCGGAAAACCATCCTTCTGATTCGAACATATGTCGGTGATCGTTCTCCCAGACTTTTCTGAGAAGTCGACGACCCGAAGTTTTGTCGCACACGTTCCGCCCATTTGGGCATAGCCCAGGCCAGAGGCGCTGCGAATGGTCAATCGGATTACGTGATCTGAGGGCGCTCTTAATTTGTAGTAACACTTCTCATGACTGCTATCGAATTCTGCATCGATACGTCCTCTTGGTCCCTTCTTGATTAGGACATCGCATCCTATAAGGAACAATATAAATAAGATTAGTACTGTTGCGTACTGTAGCACTGTAACCATACATGTAAACAATTGGTAGTCCAGTGACAGAGTGATCCAGGATTTAGCAATGTGGAGGGTGGGGCTGGGGTGGATAATACGATTTGCGAAGAACCAAGTCGGAGGAGGGAGCAGATCTATTTCGAAAGGTGAGGAGGACATTTCGTGAGTCCACACCCACCTCAGGCCCACCATGGTAGGGCATGTGGTGCGAAAAATTTAGGAAACAGTAGCTCTAGATGACCAGAAAGGACACTTTTATTTAGTAAAATTCATCGTCATCACGTCACCATTTAGTCAAAATGAGGCACCAACAAATTTCTCATGATGTTTTACCAGGATTTTCGACAACCATAAATATCTAATAAATATGTGTGAATTAAAAACATTGCCTTTGATGTACCTACTTCAAAACCGAAAGTCCACACCATATAGTTAAGGGCTGAGGTGAGAACATTTAGGGAATTGTCAGAAATGACACTCTTATATATATGTTTTTTTTATATATATGTTTTTACCATTGTTTAATTAGGTTTGTAGTTAAGATAAAAGTTGTGACAGCCCCGAAACCTTGCTCAGAAATACCGGGATGGTGTCCGGCGGGGGATAGTTTCTACCATTTTTTTTATCTATTTAAGTAATTGTACAGTATTTGTCCTACCTTGTAATCATGGTCCCAAAACCTTAACTCAGAAATACCGGGTTGGTGTCCGGCGGGGGATAGTTTTTACCATATTGTAGTTAAGTTGTATGTTTTACGGGAGTAGTCTGCTACATGTAACATGTATACATGAGAAGCACACAGGCAAGACGACTGACAATTTTTTTTTCATGGTCACCGAAGGGGGTGGCCAGCCACCCTATTCACCCCTAGTAGATCCGCCATTGGAGTCCTCAAATAAAGGAACAAATTGTGCTATTGATTGTGTCAAATATAGCTCTCAAGAGAGATTGCGGGTTCGACTCCCACTAAAGACCTATTTTTACACACACACACACACATATAT